TTTTTTTTTTTCAATCTCACGAGCCAGATGATTTTTCTCCGCTCTGTCACCTTGTTATTCTAACAAAAATAACAACGATTCGTAGACAGAGAAAAGAGAGGAAAGAGAGAGACTTTTTTCCAGGCGACGATTCCGCGCGATGCATGATGCTTTAGGATTGCATGAATTTTTCTGACTTTTGTGTTCCATTTTGTGTGGCCCGCCGTGGATTTTTCCGCGGAGCAGCATGAACTCATCCTTCACTGAAGCATGCCGGCCGACTGCGAACGCGCGAAGCTCAGTCGACAACCAAGGTCCGTCATTTTTTTGCCGAATTTTTTCTTTTTGTCCTTTTTCGATGTGAAAACTTCGTTATACACCGCTCAATTTGATTCCCCTTTTGTTCCGTTCTCTTCTTTTTTCTTTTTTTTCCTCTCTCTTTTTTTTTTATTTTTCAACGTCTGCTCGTAATTGCGCGTCCTGTTCCCTACACGTTTTTTCTCCTTCTTTTTTCCCTATTTTTTTTTTTTTTCACTCGTCTCGCGTTCGATAGACCAGTATCGAAAAAACGAATGGCGTTCGCTTAAATTACCGATTCGCTACCGTTTCATTACGCACACCACCGCTCGAAAGTCTCAAGGCTGCATCACTTATTTATTTCAATATTAGGGAAACTGACCGATTGAAAATCAACAACAAACGTTAAACGTACGGAACATTGACGTAAAACGACAGAACTATCGGTCTCTACAAATCCGGAACTGTACAAATCAATATATCAATTTTGCCAAAAAAGAAAAAAAAGAAATCTCACTTTTTAGCAGCTGCAAAATGAAAGAAGAAAAATCATGCCAACAAATTTGATAACTCTAATATCAGAAACGAAAGACCTCGTCCGAAGACTTTTGAGTGGAAGTGTTCTTCTTCCTTTTTTTTTTCTTTTCTGCTTTCGATACCTCTGTTGTCTCGTATCTGACGAGCAGAGCAGAGGTATCGAAATCGATGGTTCTCACTCTTCATCCACTCTCTCTCTCTCTCTATTTTTCTGCTTTCGCGCGAAACTCGAAACGCAGAGAGCTCCGATATCGACGCCAGCCTGCTCGGATTCTCTGCAAGGGATCTCGCAGTCCGTGCAGCAACAGCAACAGCAGCAGACGCAGCAGCAACAACAGCAGCAGCAACAACAGGCGAACCAGCAACAGCAGCAGGAATCTCTGTGCTCGGAAATGGCGCGGGAGCTGTGCCGCGCGTTGCGATGTCACGCGTCCTCGCGACGACGACGCGCCTGCGAGAAATGCTCGACCCACGTGCTCGCCTATCCGCCGGACAACCCCACTGCCACCCCCTTGAACGGGATGAGATCGCAGGTAAGTTGCTCATAACGAGTTCACTTTGAAGAGAGTTCAGGTACCAAATTTTCATAAACTAATAAAAAGAAAAGAAGAATTTATAGTCTACGATGGTAGAGTACACTTTTATTTACATATTTCACATTGGTCATATTTGTCAAATTTCGAGCAAAAGTTATAAATTTGCAGATTTGGTAGTTCTGATTGAAAAAAGGAAGTATTCTGAGATGAAATTTGTGCTGTTGTATGCATGAAGGGCCTCAGTGACGAAAAGTCAAATTCGAGTAAGACTTTCTTAGAGATTTGGAAGTTAGATATCTTGCACGTGTAGTGAAGTTATCGCGAGATGGACTATAACGTCGAAAAGTTCATGATTTTACCTCATTGTTACTGCATAAATTTTTATTATCTATCCTGTTATCATATATTATTATGTTATAACATTATATGTTATACAAGCTATATTGTACATAATATAGTACATTAGTTCAGCTCGTTGTAATGAATACATTAATGAATGAAATGAATCTTATTGCATAAAGTATTGACATATGGAAAACACTATTATTTATTAACATTATAGATTCCTCGTTGACTCATTTGTCATCGAGCGTTGTAACATTTACACTGTACTGTCTGAAGATTCAATTCTTCTAATTTACAATCGTAAAAATAAGAAACCTAAGAATAATTGAATACTTCATACTACATTCAGAATGTTTGATTTCATCATTAAGACTCTTCCTGTATCCAACAGTATATATATTGATCAGTTTATGTGTCTGAACTACTCTCC